CACGTAGAGATTTTAACGCGTGGTAATTTAACGCGTAAAAATTCGGACGCGTAGTAATTTTTGCGCGTGGCCATATAACGCGAGGTAATTTTGGCGCGTTGAAATTTCACTCGTTTCCAAAGTAACACTAATATACCTAACTTCTCCAGAAAATCGTAGTTGCTATTACGTCACCAATTCTATTTAACCCAACAGATCCTATCAGCGTAGATCAAGATTGTTCCCCAACATACTCGAAGTTCCGCATAAGTTAGACAAACGTATGCTCAAGATCCCGGTTGTTAGATTGAGCTGGATAAGATACTACGTATAGGTATACAAGTTAATCACAAATTAGGACAAGGTTAGACCGGCAAGTATGTTAGGCTGGATTACACGAGGATTAAGTTCAAGTGAAACAGCGTTCTTGAATACGATGAATATGTCAGAAAATCCATGGACTGTTTACGCTAATAATCTCGTCTTACGTTTGACGTATATTACGAATTTGTTGTTTCCAAACAACGAATACAATGTGTAATTCTGTTAAACAAAGTCTGTTGTTAGATATTTGCGGTATAACTGCGCGTAAAAAATTTAAATGAAATATATTGGTAAACGGAGATCAATGATATCACGGTACCCGAAATCTGTTTATTTATCTTGTATTTTATCGCTGGTCGTAGGTAAACAAGTCGTTGTTTGCACCCTTGATGAATCGGAGCGTAAGCGGGAAAACAAGCCTCGATCAAGGAAAAACGAAATAACGGAAAAGCCATCGCGTTGTCGAGGTCCGTTCAATCTGCGCCGATGACCGAACGAAACCACTCGATTTCGCGGCAGCGATGTTTCATCAGCTGGATTGAAATGGACGTCTATTTCGTTCGTAGCGTGTACACTTCGATTATTCCTCGTTTTCCCATTAATATCGCTGGATTTCGCGTGATCTCTGCGTCGAATGAGTCTCTAGATTGAAAAGTGCATTGGAAAAAGTTGTTCGAGTAGAAATGTCTGAAATAAATCAGACGCTTCGCGTGGGAATCGATAGCGAAACGTTCTAGCCATACGTAACGTTCTGTCTGCTTGAGAAAAAGTGGAGTTCACGGTACACGTTAGCACTTTTCACTTTATGTTCCTTCCTCTCAAATAAATACGTTGTCGAACTTCAATAAATAATGAACTTGCAAGGCTGCATGTTTCGATACGAATAGATGTACCGTCTTGGGATCAGATAAGTTCTATAGGAATGGTCGAATATCATGCCAATTTTTTAAGTAGTAGTACTATAGATAAATTGGCAAACAAATAATATTATGTTTGACAGAAAAATAGTATGAGGTTGGTCAGACAAGTAGAAAGTCATTGGTCAGACAAGTAGAACATGTCATTGATAAGACAAGTAGAACATGTCATTGATCAAACAAGTAGAATATGTCACTGGTCAGACAAGTAGAATATTATACAGCAGTTGGTCATACAAGTAGAATATACTGCTGTAGTTAGTCAGACAAGTAGAATGTGATGCAGTAGATAGTCAGACAAGTAGAATGCGATGCAGCAGTTGGTCAGACAAGTAGAATATGATGCTATAATTAGTCAGACAAGTAGAATGTGATGCAGCAGTTGGTCAGACAAGTAGAATGTGATGCTGTAATTAGTCAGACAAGTAGAATATGATGCAGCAGTTGGTCGCACAAGTAGAATATGCTGCTGTAGTTAGTCAGACAAGTAGAATGTGATGTAGCAGATAGTCAGACAAGTAGAATGTGATGCTGTAATTAGTCAGACAAGTGGAATGTGATGCAGCAGTTGGTCGGGCAAGTAGAATGCGATCTAGCAGATAGTCAGACAAGTAGAATATGATCCTGTAGTTGGTAAGACAAGTAGAATATGATGCAGCAGTTGGTCAGGCAAGTAGAATATGATGCAGCAGTTGGTCAAACAAGTAGAATATGATGCTGTAGTTAGTCAGACAAGTAGAATATGGTGCAGCAGTTGGTCAGACAAGTAGAATGTGATCCAGCAGATAGTCAGACAAGTAGAATATGATCCTGTAGTTGGTAAGACAAGTAGAATATGATGCAGCAGTTGATCAGACAAATAGAATGTAATCCAGCAGAGAGTCAGACAAGTGGATAATGTAACCACTTTGTCACACAAGTAGAACGAGAATCGTGAGATGATCAGACAAGTAGAATACGATACAGAAGAACATCAAACAAGTAGTATAAATTGCAAAAAGCAATCAAACAAGTAAAATATGATCCCTATTGTTCAAACAAGTGATATAAGACCCTCCGTCGGCAAAAAAGGATGCCAATAATAATTGAAACAAAGAACTATTTCCCGTTATTAATCGGATTGTCTTCGAGAAACGTATACCTCGATTGAATTGCATTCCTTGTCATCCTCGAGCACACAAACGACTGTCTCTCCTGCTTCTTGTTCCATACTGTTTTATAGAAGATGGCGTTTTTACCAAAGGCGGTATATCCTGTCGCTTTTATTTTCATTCCCTCTCCCCAGCCGCACAACGACGAATATTTTAACGTCACTCGTGTCGCAAACAATTCCTTCTGTTATATTCACCTCCTCGAGGCGCGCTTCCACGAATACGCTGAAATTACCTCCGGCGAAAAGCTGAAGTGATTCGATGCGAGGATTAGACGCTTTTGTTAAATGAAACCGGGACGCGTAATGTCTGCTAATTAATCACTACTTCTGAATATTAACATCGAGACTGCGGCGTTCTGGCGCTGATATTAAAATCACGTTCAAAATTGCGTTACATCGTCGACCTACAACAGCGTACATCGACATAAATAATTAATATACAGGGTGGTTCATAAGGAAGCAATATTTCAAGTCCTATAGGTACGTTTTTAGATACAGTTTATGCGTGATAATGGGAGGCGTGGTCATTGGAGGCGTGGCCATTGGGGCGTGCAGTGATTCGACACATGGTGATGGAGGGCGTGTAGTGATTCTACGCGTGATGACTGATGGCGTGGTGATTGGTTGCGTGGTAATCCAGGGTGTGTAGCGATTTGACGCGTGGTTATTCGACGCGTGGTAATCCAGGGTGTGTAGCGATTTGACGCGTGGTTATTCGACGCGTGGTAATCCAGGGTGTGTAGCGATTTGACGCGTGGTTATTCATGGGGGGCGTGGTGATTCAGGGCGTGTAGTGATTCGACACGTGGTGATGGAGGGCGTGTAGTGATTCTACGCGTGGTAATTGGGAGCGTGGTCATTGGAGGCGTGGCCATGGGGGGCGTGGTGATTCAGGGCGTGTAGTGATTCGGCACGTGGTGATGGAGGGCGTGTAATGATTCTACGCGTGATAATTGGGGGCGTGGTAATTGGGAGCGTGGTCATGGGGGGCGTGGTGATTCAGGGCGTGTAGTGATTCGAATGTGGTGATGGAGGGCGTGTTGATTCTACGCGTGATGACTGGGTGCGTGGTGATTGGTTGCGTGGTAATCCAGTGTGTGTAGCGATTTAACGCGTGGTTATTCGACGCGTAGTAACTCGGGGCGTGTAGTGATTCGACACGTGGTGATTCGGGGCGTGTAGTGACTCTACGCGTGATAATTGGGGGCGTAGTGATTGAAGGCGTGGTTTTTCACTCTCTCTAGGTTTTTATGGAGAGCAGTGATTGTATGAAAATTTTTTCAAGTCTGAACATCATGATGAAGATCCTGTTAAAAGCGAAGTAGTTAGTTTCCTTCGGTATTTATCAACGGCATTGGGCTATAAAGTCCGGTTCTAATGAAATTGCTCCGGCATTATCGCCCCTGACATGCTGAAAAATGCGGCCAGCTCGTTCGTGAAATTTTTCCCCGCCGCGTCCCGTTTCTCGCATAATTGCAGCAGCGATTCAAATCGCACGCGAAAGCTCGATTACCCGAATCCGGAGGATTCTCCCCGCTCCAAGATACACAAAGGTTAATGCAATTTCGATAATTGACTCGGGGAGTGTTGTTGCCTTTCTACGCAAACGATCACGTAGATTCTGCGGTAATGTTCGACTGCGTGCTATCGAACTGCCTTTATTCGCGATCGGATTATCCGGAATAATCGAGCCAGGCAAACCGGGATTAGCTATCATTTTTGACAATGCAGCTTTCCGACCCAGATTCCTAATTTCCAGATAAACTTCTGCTTTTTATATCCGTTGAAATTGATGCTCGCCGTGAATCATTAAGCACTTGCTTTAACGTAACTTTTAATTCGAACGCATGAAAAATTCGTCGTGAAATTATTTAATGTCACGGTGGAAATAATGAGAGTTTAATTAAATATGACTGGAATATTATGCGGAACCTCGTTGCAGCTAGATCGTAAAAAATTTTATGAATACGTTTAAAAACTTTTTACGCTCGATAAATTTTGATTATTTTTTCTCTGCTAGTTTGACTTTTCAGAAAGTTTGCCGACGCTGTTCGAACATTTTTCAGTGAAAATGGCTCGATCGAACTAACTTCACAATGGTATCCTGACAAACATTTGCCTTTCCGCCATTAATACATTCATGAGATATTTCAATTCTTGTTTACGGATCGCGGGGAAATTTCCGAGAAATTTAGCCAGAGAAGTTTTAGGTAATTATTCATGTGCGTACATCGCGATGTCTATAGTTGGATCATAACTTCAAAGCAGTGGTAAACCACTATTTGCCTTTATTTCATAAAATCGTTCGCGAAATATTTAAATTATCATATTTGGGATATAATCATATTAATACGAAATTTATTCGAGTACACACTTATTATTTGAACATTTTCCATCCCATGAACTGCATTCGAACATTAAACACACCCCTAAATTAATACCAGCTGATCAAACATTCACAATATTGCAAAACGTTTAAATTCTTTATTTAAATATTGAAATATTTTTATTATCGTCTTGCTGAAATTTTCTGAACGATCGAAGAGTTATAACAAACTAATAAAATTATTTACAAAATAATATTAAAAAAAAAATTTCAGTAATATTTTGAAATGTGTTTGTTGCAGAGGAACCAGTGGAATCGATATAGATTTACGGAGATTGGACATAGACCAATGTCCTCTGCGGCCAGGATCGACCCAGCTGAATATATTCGCTGCGAGCGACAAGTGCAAAAAGCGAACAACGGAGGTAAATTTTTGCACGAATTTCTAAAACCTTTCAACAAAAAAAAAATAACAAAAAATATTAATTCTGAAAATATTTTAATAAATATTATTTGTTGTCCCTTTTAAAATTAAGGTCCATTTCGTAAAAAATTGATCAATCACAGCATTTCATTTTTTCTATATTTTCCATTTGCTCTCAGTGAACGATTTATTATTTCGGTATTCGACCTATTACATTTCCCGCGCTTTTTTATGATCGCAGTGCATCGCCATTCCTGGGCTAGGCTTTCGTCGAGGGAGCTATCGATGCGTTTGCAAACGGGGCTTTTATTACCCGGACACGAAATCAACCAGCCGATACTACAATGGCACTGTGATCGAGGAGGAATACGAGAAATTGATGATGGTACGTAACAGGAATCGAACGGTCGGATCACATTCTGGATTATACTTAAATCTGTTCATTTCATTTTATATGAAAACGTAATACCGCGCAGATGAACTTGAACGACTTATAATTAACTCCTGCGAAACGGAGTTAAGGTCACTAGATAATGCTAGAAGTAGTTACTCCGTTGATACACAACTACGATTACTTACAATTCGTAAAATTAATCACCTTAATCTCGATCGAAACGAGTCTATCCGATTAAGCCGCTCAGCTGGCTTCCAAACGGCTAAAGTTTCCGAGCAGTGCCGGGCCGGTTAAGCGACAAGTACGATAATTTGTCAGTGTCAGGTTAATGCGAAGTAAAAATTGTGTACACGCGGTGAGAAAGCACGCCATTACATCCAGGTCAACGGATATTCATACATATTTCTTTCTTACCGGCGATCTCGTCATAAATCAGTTTCTCAGGCGTCAGGAGCAAGCCTGGTTAAACGGCTGTGGACTTGAAGACGTTTGCGTTTCAAGGATCCTCTTCGTGGAACTTTTAAGTCCTCCCTTTTTCTGCTACCTTTGTGTTGACTTTGATCTTTCAAGGCTCTCTCAAAAATTCAGATAAACCAGATGAAAAGAAACGAAAATCCGTTTCAAGTGGAACACTCCAATTTGCTCTTACTTGTCTGAGGATACTTCATGGTACTTGCATTGTGGGAAGGAAAACAGCGCATGAGATCTTTTAAAAGTACATCTAGAGAGCTTAAATGCTTAATGGGAGTGGATGTGTCGATGGATCAGACGTTCTGGGGCGTGGTATTAATGGGAGGGGGTAGTACGAGGCGTGGTAATAATGGGTGGTGGTAATACGGGGCGTGGTAGTAACGGCAGGTGGTAATATGGAGTGTGGTAGTAATGGGAGGTGGTAATACGGGGCGTGGTAGTAACGGGAGGTGGTAATACGGGGCGTCGTAGTAATGGGAGGTGGTAATACGGGGCGTAGTATTACTGGGTGGTGGTAACATGGGGCGTGGTAGTAATGGGACGTGGTAATATGGGGCGTGGTAGTACTGAGAGGTGGTAATATGGGGCGTGGTAGTAATGGGAGGTGGTAACACGGGGCGTGGTATTACTGGGAGGTGGTAATACGGGGCGTGGTATTACTGGGAGGTGGTAATACGGGGCGTGGTACTACTGGGAGGTGGTAACATGGGGCGTGGTAGTAATGGGACGTGGTAATATGGGGCGTGGTAGTAATGGGAGGTGGTAATACGGAGCGTGGTAGTAATGGGAGGTGGTAATACGGAGCGTGGTAGTAATGGGAGGTGGTAATACGGAGCGTGGTAGTAATGGGAGGTGGTAATACGGAGCGTGGTAGTAATGGGACGTGGTAATATGGGGCGTGGTAGTAATGGGAGGTGGTAATACGGAGCGTGGTAGTAATGGGAGAATACGGAGCGTGGTAGTAATGGGAGGTGGTAATACGGAGCGTGGTAGTAATGGGAGGTGGTAATACGGAGCGTGGTAGTAATGGGAGGTGGTAATACGGAGCGTGGTAGTAATGGGAGGTGGTAATACGGAGCGTGGTAGTAATGGGAGGTGGTAATACGGAGCGTGGTAGTAATGGGAGGTGGTAATACGGAGCGTGGTAGTAATGGGAGGTGGTAATACGGAGCGTGGTAGTAATGGGAGGTGGTAATACGGAGCGTGGTAGTAATGGGAGGTGGTAATACGGAGCGTGGTAGTAATGGGAGGTGGTAATACGGAGCGTGGTAGTACTGAGAGGTGGTAATATGGGGCGTGGTAGTAATGGGAGGTGGTAATATGGGGCGTGGTATTACTGGGAGGTGGTAACATGGGGCGTGGTAGTAATGGGACGTGGTAATATGGGGCGTGGTAGTAATGGGAGGTGGTAATACGGGGCGTAGTATTACTGGGAGGTGGTAACATGGGGCGTGGTAGTAATGGGACGTGGTAATATGGGGCGTGGTATTACTGGGAGGGGATAATAGGAGGCGTGGTGAATCGAGACATGGTAAGTTGTGACGCACTGTTGTGGGACGTCCTAATACAAGGCGTGGCAATACGAGGCGTGCACACACGGGGCGTGGCCATACGGGGCGTGGTATTATGGTTCCCACTATTGAGGGCGTAGTAAAATATTGCGAATATATGAAGTGAAATGGTATAAAAAATGAAAACATAAATCGTAAAAGCATGAAAGTTGATCATAACATGACTGGAATCGCGAGTGAAAGTTTCAAAAATAAAATTGCTGACAAAATACCGGGACCATAGAGTAGATTGAAAAGCTATCAGACTGAAAACTGCCAGGAATAATTTACAGGATAGAACGGACATACGAGGATCAAAGGGAATTACGAAACTAGACTGCGCCAGCGCATGCGATACGACGTTTGTTCCCTGTGAGAATTGCCACGTGACTCTCGTGTAATTGCTGATAAACGACCGGTAAACACGCACTCGCACAAAAGGGAAGCATCTTAGTCCTCGCCTTTGCCGCGATTAATATCCTTGGTGACAGCTGGTGCAGGGATCATTGAGTACACACCCTCTTGTTCTATCAAGATGCTATTGAGAGCCGTGAGATATGGCGTATTAATTTATTAATTCATTATGTGTTATCTACACGAAAAAAGGAACAAAGAGTTGTCGATAGCTCCAGGCTGACGACCTATGGCGACCTAAATTTAATTCGACCCGAAAGTCGAAATTAATTACGAAAGTAATTACGTTATCAGGTTTCTGTACCATTGAAGCTCGTGACGTAGTTAAAGATCGTTGAGTCAAAAGATGTTAATTCGATTCAGGTAACACGATTAAAAGGATTAGTTCCAGAAGAGGATCTCCTTTGAACAAATTCAGAGCTCAAATTACCGGTATCTAATTATATCAGTTCCCGAACAAAATACTTCGATAGATCCCTTGTCTATCGATACTGTAAAAATTACAAAGGGTATAGAACGCGAGTTAATCCTGTTTACCCGAGGACATAATTAAAATCAATACGCCGGAAGATTGGACGTCAGGTTATCAGAACAGAGCTTTGTTCCTTTTTAATTCGGAATAACTTTCGTTATTCCGCGGCGATTGTTTAATCTGGAAGTTGAATTTGAAATTACGATGTAGATTTAATCTTCAAGGTTCCCATCCGCCTCAATATCAGATAATTGACGCCGCGGTCTAACACCCTTCTGAGATTACGGATCAAACATAAGAAACACTGACACAAGATAAATGAGTTTGCACCCGTAGTGCTTCATCATTGCAAGGTTAGACACTAAATCACTAGCCAGGCGGCTAAATCAGTACCGTTTACGCCCTTGAGACTTCCAACACTTCCGGTCCTATGTCTTTCTAACAAGTTGGATTCATAGGGCACTTATGACTTAGCCTTAGATTTGCAGGTGGACTGTGCATGTGAGCTGATAGTCTTTTAGGCTGGGTCTTTGTGGATTCGAATGAAGGCACTACTTGTGACGCTAAGGTTCCTTTGGGACTTGTGTACTTCTGATTGTGGTATCCCTGGTGACTTTAGTACACCTGGATGTGATGTTATCCCTACTTCTGATGTCATAACCTCCCTTGATGTTCCTGGAGCCTCTGGTGCCTCTGGGTCCTAATGGTCCTGGTAGCTCGGATGTACCTGGCACTTCTGATATCATTGGTACCCCTAATGTTCATGATATGCTTACTGTCTCTACCACGCCCTGAATTACCACGCCTCCAATTATTACGCGTAGAATCGCTACACGCCCCGAATTACCACGCATCAAATTACTACATGCCCTGAACCATCACGCCCCGTATGACTACGCCCCCAATGACCACGCCCCCAATTACCATGCCCCCAATTATCACGCGTAGAATCACTCCACGCCCCGAATTACCACGCTCCCTATCACCACGCCTCCAATTATTACGCGTAGAATCACTACACGCCCCGAATCACCACGTGTCGAATTACTACACGCCCTGAATCACCACGATCCCAATGACCACGCTCCCAATTACCACGCCTAGAATCACTACACGCCCTCCATCACCACGTGTCGAATCACTACACGCCCTGAATCACCACGCCCCCCATGGCCACGCCTCCAATGACCACGCTCCCAATTACCACGCGTAGAATCACTACACGCCCTCCATCACCACGTGTCGAATCACTACACGCCCTGAATCACCACGCCCCCCATG